ATCGTTAAACAACATCGCAAAGCGTGCACTGGCAGCTGGTCTGTCAATCAATATCAACAAAACCAAGTCTATGCGTCTCAATTCAAACTGCTTAACGAAGTTTCAACTAGATGGCTCCTACATCGAAGATGTACAAAGTTTCTGCTATCTGGGAAGCTACATTTCGAACAACGGCGGCAGTCGGCAAGACATACAGTACAGGCTATCGAAAGCGAAGCAAGCGTCTGGAACCCTTAACAAAATCTGGCGTTCATCCAACATCACACAACGCACTAAGATACACCTGTACAATGCAAACGTAAAATCAACTTTACTATATGGTAGTGAGAGTTGGAACCTAACGGCAAGAGACGCACAACAGCTACAAGCCTTTGCCAATCGTTGTCTACGACGCATCCTTCATGTATTTTGGCCAGCAACCATAACCAATAATGAGCTCTGGTTTAGAACGAATCAGCCTCTTATAACTGATGAAATAATGATGCGCAAATACAAATGGCTTGGCCACACGTTAAGAAAACCCGCTGATGATATCGCAAGAAATGTCTTAGATTTCAACCCTCAAGGCAGTAGAAGACCAGGGCGTCCGCGCAACACTTGGAAACGACAAACTGAAGCCGAATTAAGAAATGCTGGAAAGAGCTGGAGTGAAACAAAACGTCTTGCATTAGATAGAGTTCAATGGAAACTATTTGTTACGGCCCTCTGTTCCACCTAGGAATAAAAGGATTAAATAATAATAATAATAATAATATTGCATAATTATTTTATTGGGGAGAGTAAAGTTAGATATTCGATTATCTTTACATATGTGTGTAAAGATGAATAGCATCTTCATCTATAGTGTAATATTTCTTTTTATATTTATTTTTATTCACTCAGATAATCAGACGATTTGTTTTAACTGAGAAAAATAATCATCAAAAGCGAATTTTTAGTGCAAATCTGCTGTAGTTTACTTCAACAAGTACCAATAAACTGGCTAACTTGATACATTCATGCATACACACTTTTAAGTCCATAGAAAAAAGATTAAAAAATATTTTAATGTAAATATATTTTTTTATTCTGTCTTATCCTGTATTTAGTAATATTACTAATATTTTTTACTGTTTGGCCTTAAAGACCACTCATTAGTACCCATCAAGTTTTCTAAGCGCACCAAATTTTTTTTAATAAGTAAATCTTCATTAAATTTAGAGTTGAATTTATTTTTGAAAAACTGATTGATTAGTAAATTCTTATACTAACTGAGTATAACTGAGTATGCTACATGTTTTTTGTTTGATACCTCGCAAAACCATCTCTTTAATATTTTCTATATATTAATGATCGGGTTAATTGTACAATGTTAGATAATACACAACTTTTTAAATTGCTTTTAAAAATATATTTGATCCGAATTGATATTTTGACTATATAGACTACAGATTATTAATGTTTCGGAAAGATAAATGTAGATTCGTTAGAGTAGAGTTCGTTATCTTAATATTCCATGCGCAAGTGTTGGCTCTAGCAAACCATATATTTTTCTCATGGATAAAACATTTCTATTTTTGAAAGGATAATGACTATACCCACGGCTGTATTCTTAATCTTTTCAGTCCTACTCTAAGAAATGTTGACCACATCTCTCCCATTCTCCAAATTTTAGCTACCGAGAGATTCTTCACTAGGAGAAGATCTATCCATTTATAGTAAAGGTTCTAAAATAAGTAGTGGTGTAGGTAGTTGTATCAGAAAGACTGAATAAATATAGACTTTGTCATCATTGCAGTGTTTCCATGCGAAGTTGATTGCTATTAGGAAAACTATAGCTTATGTGGAAGTGGATAATATATTTAATAGCAATATGTTATATATCGTACTATCAGACAGTCAAGCTATTTCAAAGTTCTTGAGTACACTCCAATTTACATACATGACGATTCTTGACTGCTACACAACTTTAAATGAAATTTCTACGCATTTTAACATTTGTCAACTCTAAGCGATGATTTATAAAAATTATAAATGCTTATTTAACAGATTGACAAGTAAATTTAAATTACATAAAAATAGTTAGACGAATACTTCGCAATTTAAGTTTGCAATTTAATTAATAAATTCTAAAATGAGTTGCCACAATATGCGCACCACGTTGTTCTGGTGTTTCATTTTATATGTAGGCTGTTGTCTGAATTTTCTCAATTTTTAAAAGTTACTTATTTATTTAGAAATATATAGATATATGGATTTCAAAAAAAATTTCAAAAATTCTCATTGATCATTTGCTGACAAATTAATAAAGAAAGTATTACTCATTGCGAGCCTAAAGTAGGAAATTTTTGTGCGTACTTCTGCTGTCTGGGAGAATGAGTACACATAAATCACAAAACTGTCAATGAAGTCTGTAAATGTGCACTCTGATGGAGTTAAGTGCCTGGCAGATTGCATTACAGAATAAATCATTACTGAAACGTCTTTCGGTCTCGTTCGAGATATCCGCTCTAACGTATTTAAAAATTTTGCAGATTGCTGTAATTCTCAAAATTCAAAATGATTCCCATATTGACCACGTAATAATTCATGTAACTCCTTACCAATTACTTATTTATATTTATACACTCGAGCACTCATAATTTCTTTTTATAAAAAATTATGCTTTGTTGACATAAAACAGTCAGCAAAGATTTCAAAAACAACAAACAATGGCAATTGTTAAAAATCTTAATCACATTTCAATTTCTAGCCCGAAAGTAGAAAAATTTTCTCATAATCGTAACTAAAAATCAACAATTGAGATTTCCACATACCAACCCTGAGGGCACTTGGGGTACAAGTGTGCGTATTAACATTTTCATTTATTTAAGCTATTTTGCACAAATCCGAAGTAACGCTTACGAATGCACACAAACACTCCTCCAAAGACAGCGCTAGGATGCAGTGTTAGTCCATGTGGGGTATAAGCACTTCTCCTCCATTATTTCGTTAAGCTCATACCTTACATTATTTAATGCACAACTACTAATATATGCAGGCCCTCAGGGCGCTTAAATTTACCATTTATACAAGAGCGCAAAAAGGTCATTTAGTTGGTTAGCGAACACATCGCCGAACACACGTCCACACACACGTATGGTATCTTCTTCCTTGAACAATTTTATTATATAACGTACGCAAACTAA